GTTGAAAGTTAATTTAATTAATTATAGAAGGCATGGAAAGAAAAGTTGACATGCATGTTCAGTTTAAACAAAAAAAATAAGAGATTTTATATCTCCCTAGCTACATTATTTTGTCAAAATTAGCTTAAATTTTTATATTAGATACAAATATTCTTTACATCTAGTTGTCATGGAAATAGAGCTAATTAGTACGTTTAAGGCACATTATATTAACTGCACTTTTGTGATTTTTGATTATTAATTTATTTGTTACGGATACAAATAAACTTGTAGGGATGTGATGCATCTGTTCTGTTAGATGACACTTCAACCTTTACTGGAGAGAAATCAGCTGGTGCAAATGTGAATTCTCTGAGAGGTTTTGAAGTAATTGATGACATTAAAACTAAAATAGAGGCTGCTTGTCCCGGAGTTGTTTCTTGTGCAGATATTCTAGCTATTGCTGCACGTGATTCCGTTGTTGCAGTAAGTTCAATACCATAATAAATGTGAACACATAAAATCCAAAATAATAAACAAGACAGTATATAGTATGTTGATATATATTTATTGGCTTGTTACAATATATCTTACAGAACGTGTCTCTTATAGCCTGTAAAATTTCATTAACTTTCACATACTCATTGTGAACCAAAGATATCTTACATGAATGATTTACAATAATACTATATTCTCACTAATTATATTCAAAAAGCTGAAAACAGTGGTAAAATTACCTAAAACAGTGTTATATCTAACAATTCACTGTTAAAAATTGACTGGTATATTTTTGGTCTCTGTATCTCAGTTGGGAGGTCCATCGTGGAATGTTGGGTTAGGCAGAAGAGATTCAACCACAGCAAGTAAAGATGCTGCCACTAAGGATATTCCATCCCCACTAATGGATCTCAGTGCCCTTATATCTGCTTTTGCAAACAAGGGGTTTAACACTAAGGAAATGGTAGCTCTGGCAGGTAAATTAGAACTACATTAAAGTATATATCTTTCCTATTAATCCATAAATTTCACTAGTCTCTAGTTAATTAATTAATCACATCCATATAGTAATATTATGTCAATTTTTATTATTAGAATTTAATGGTAATATACTAATAATAAAAAATAATTTTATATTATCAACTAATCAGCCCTCACTTTTAGTTTAATTTTTACTTATTTATTAGATAATAGTGTATCAGTGTATAACTATTAAAATGTTAATATTATGGAATATGAATCTTGTGTCATCTAAACTTTTTTGTCCCTCAAATTTTCATGCACATATAGGAGCTCATACAACGGGGCAAGCCAGGTGTCAGTTATTCCGAGGCAGGGTTTACAATGAAAGCAGCATTGAGTCAAACTTTGCAACATCACTCAAGTCAAACTGTCCAAGCACCGGTGGTGACACCAACCTTTCCCCACTTGATGTCACCACAAATGTTCTATTTGATAATGCTTATTTCAAGAATCTGATCAACAAAAAGGGACTTCTACATTCGGATCAACAGTTGTTCAGTGGTGGTTCTACAGATTCTCAGGTCACTGCCTATAGCAACGACCCTTCAGCTTTCTCTGCAGACTTTGCTAGTGCCATGGTCAAAATGGGTAACCTTAGCCCCTTAACAGGGAATAGTGGCCAGATTCGTACCAATTGCCGCAAGGTTAATTAAAAAGTTGGAAAAAAAAAAAAAAGATGAGCAAAAAAAAGATGCTCATTCTGTCACAGTATATGTGATCTTTCATGTATTATATATGGTATTTCCTAGTGTATGTTTAGCGATAATAATCTAAGAATTTAAGTGTAAGGTGTTGTGATTAGAAGCTTTAGTTCTCTCAAAATAGAGAGTAATAAAGGAAAGTGGTGCATTGAAATTCTGTAGTTTGTTATTTAAGGTCTTGTAGCAGAAATTTTCAGCTCCATGTACTAGTAATCTAATATTATTTGTACTACAATAATTTATATTGTGCATCATCAACTATATAGTATATACCATAAAACAATATAAATAAATATATAAAAAATGCTTTGGTAACTCAATCACTCCAACCAGCAGAAAATATAGAACAGTAAATAATGTTATTATTTTTAATAAATTTGGTTAATTCCGAGTTAATTATCTGAAGAGGAAGAACCTGTGGTTACTGGTAAATGACAATCTATATCTATCAGCACATGAAACACTACCTTTGCCAATGATTTGTTTATTTGTTACTCTCCTATTCATATTTTTTGTAAGGGGATCTTCTTCCAGTTAAGTCAGGGGAATAACTGGTCTATTATAACATTTAGCTCTGTCATGATAACCACATAATGATTTGATAACTGTTAGATACACCGCAGCTTAATTTTTTTTAAAATAAATGATGATGATCCTTAACTAGGCTTAATTGTTTTAACTGCATGTATACTTTTATACAATTCTTTCTACCAAAATAACCATTAAAGCATTTTGTTTTGTACAAAAATATTAGTTACTTAAAAAGTTGCAGCCTTCAAAATTGAATTTCAGATAGTGCTCTAAAACCACATAATTTTTCCCCAGCATTAAATCTAATTTTCCCTCATATCATGCAAACTCCTGCCAAGTGCCCTGCCCAACTGAGTCAATGAAAAGGGTGAAAGCAAAGCCTTGCAAAAGAGTATATATAGAGAGAAGCACCTAGTAAAACGTTCCAGTTATTGAACAGTGCAGCAACATTCAGAAATATATTATTCCTTATGCTTCGCGCGTTTATCTGATATGGATCATTCAGACACGGCCTAATGAAATTTATATGAATCAGCTAAACAAGCTTCAGAAAATTATAAGCCAAAATATATATTGCAGATGAGTTATAAATAAATGAATAATAATTGATGGTTGACACGTTTTCTAATGCTCATTGAAGGACGATAAAGCTAATATAATAACAAGTTAACCATTTAGCTGAAACAAAAGCCAGTCGAGAAGTTTGCTCCTAAATTTCTGACAAAGATCGTATTTTCAAAAACATAAAAAAAAACTTGCAATTTTTTTAATTTTCAGTTTAAATTTTAACATCTTTAATATAGTCAACTATAAGGGATCTGTAAATTTTGGGTGGATCTAAGTATAACGAAGATGAATTTTTGGTTTCATTGTCATACTTAATTTGCAGTACAAGCGTTTGTTGTTTAAGGTTACACCCCAAGAGATAGGGGGAAAGAAAACAGAGAAAACCCACCTTAGTTACCAGCCGCTGATGTGCCAGATAATATAAATATTCAAACATTAGTCATATCAATGATTGATGCATATGCAGAAATGAATTACAAAAATGATTGATGCATACTTTTAAAAAATATTATTTTCATTTTCATTTTGTATTTTCTAAGCCAAAATAGGTAGTTAATTTCGTAGATATTATATGTATGAGAAAATGTTCATGCATGCACAATCTACACAAACTATGCGTCCTTTATTCGATTGTTAACATGAGTAGGGTTTAAATTAAGCTTTGTAAATTAATTAATATAAAATAATTTTTGAAAATTTTGGGGTTGATGCCGAATCACCCCATAGGAAATTATGCTCAATGCAAGAAAGTAGGTGAGAAGTGTGTGCATGTGTAAATTTTTTCTGTCAGGAATATATAATTTTTTGAAATGCGTGTGTCAAGAAATATAAGAATTCCTTTTCACCGCCAATTAAAAAGCAAGAAGGAATTGTATAAATATGTATCATTTGATCTTGACAATAAATATTGTCCCATCATCCCCGTGTTAGTGCAACTGGCAAGTATAATAAAAAAAGAATTTGATGTTGCTTTTTATAATTAATGGTGTCATCCTCTAGTGTGCGTTGAATGAAAAAAAAATGTTATACAAGCTTAATTAATTAATCATAAACTATCAAATCAAATCAAATATATATGAATTCATCAATTAAAAAGATGTATCTGACTGTGAGTTTACAACTGATTGAATTATTTATATTGTGCCTCTATGAAATCATACTGAAAGACCTAACGCTAAGAGATCATGTATCAACCTCCGAATTAAAACCCCTTAATTAGTTTATTAGTAAGTAGTAAGAACCAAATTTGGCGACATTTTTATTTGGGTCTCTAGAAAGGTTGTTTAGGCCACATTTATTGGGCCATCAAGAATATATTATTGTATACGTTTGACCCAAACTAAATTTGAATTGAATAGTTTTAAGGATATTTTTTCAATTAATTAATAGATTATTTTCTAATGCCTAAAGCTTAGGTTAACAGTGGATGCAATTTAATTTACTACAGAAAACCAAATTTAAATATCCATAAATAACATAGGTAAGAAATTTAATATATATATATAGAGAGAGAGAGGGGGAGAGAGAGAGAGTACCTCTCCATTTAAATTTCTTATTCTTTTTCCAACCATATTAAAGTTTTGTCAAGAAAGTCTAGTTGATTGATTAGAGTATGCAAGTGTTGTAAACTTCTTTAATACCAAATTCAATTCTTATAGATAAAAAAAAATTAAAAAAAAAACATACTTGAAGTTTTTAAACCAACTTTTACAATTTGATTGAGAGTTTGCAATTTATTTATTTGATTTTATTCATTTTAGATTTTATATACTTATTTTCTATTATTTTTTCTTAAAACTTAAAGGATGGAATTATAGTGTTTATTTTGAATTTTATTTACTCGTAAAGAAACTCAATATATTGTTGAAAAATTACAAAACTATAATTCAGCAGCACATAACTAGATCCATGCATACGAAATACAGAAGAATTGAGATTTGATCAAGTGAAGAAGAGTGAGAGGAATTGATAAAGAGTTGAATTGTGGAAGAGAACCAAAGAGAGAGATAGGATAGGGTAGCGTGTTCGAAAAGAAAGATATATTGCATCAGTTAAATTTAATGATATTTTTTTACTCAAACAAATAGGTTACTGATGTGTTACACTTATGTAACATGTAAAACTTTCATTTTAAATATAAAGACTTATAAAATTTTGATATATATGAACACTTCCAAGGTACAATCCAATTGATCTCACAACGAAACAAATAAAAACAATAATAGTAATATAGCAACGAATGCATCACGCGTTTACAGACTTCTTACACTTCACGGTTCATCATTTGAACCAATAGTCTTATTGTCAACAATAAACAGAAACGTATAGAGATTATAAAGATCAGCACATGACTTTTATAAACAGTTGCTCAATCGTTATTCTTCTTCCTCTTCTTCTGTTTTGATCAAGACTTGTAATAATAATAATATATGCAGCTCTAGTAGTTGACTTTTCTGCAATTACACCTGATTTCTCCTATATACCCAGTAAGAGGTTTAATGTTACCCATCTTAATCATGGAAACCCCAAAGTCTCTTGCAAAAGCATAAGGGTCCTTGCTGTATAGTTCTACCAACCTATCACTTTCACTACCATCACCCTTGAATAGCTCTTGATCAGAATGGAAGAGACCCTTTTTGTACAACAAAGCCTTATAGTATGTGGTGTCAAATCTTGAAGGAGTGGCATCAATTGGTGCCAAACTAGAGTCTCCACCAATTCTAGGGCATGACTCACGCAAAGTGGCTGCAAAATTAGGGTTTATGTTGGTGTCATTGAAGATCCTGTCTCTGAAGGAACTGCACTTTGATTGGCCAATGGTGTGGCCACCAGAGAGAACCACTAGATCCTTGAGATCCAGGCCATGTGATTGGAAACTAGCAAGAAGCTGTGGGAGGTTGAAAAATGGTGGAGGAAGATTCACATTTGCAGCATCCCTGCTTGCATATCTTGCATCTCTTCTGCCTAATAGCACTCGGTACCAATATTCTGGACCCCCCAACTGATAATTATCGCATCATGCAAAATTGTTACTTTTCACTACGTGTGGCTCATAATTAACTATGAGTCCAGCCAAACATTATTTAATCAAAAGATATTAAGTAGTCAAAGAGTGTCAGGGTTTTACTAGTTTGATTAAGAATGAAATATAATCCACATGTAATTATATTTATATGAATTTCACATAGTAAAAAAGAATATAGATCTATTTGGACAAATTTTTCTAAAAATATTTTTAAAAGAGAAAAATAGAAAGAAATAATGAAATATATGTTTATCAAAAACTAAAATTAGTTTATATATAAAACTCTTTCTTATTCGTTTTTTAAAATTTTATTTTTATTTATATAAAATTAATTTTAATTTATGGAGAAATTCATTTATATGTGATCATGATATCAATTGATCTACATTTAATAATATGCAATCAAGTTTTTCAATTTACAATTGAAAAAATTTACTACATGTCTTATAAAGGTTGAATAGAATCGTAAACACGTGATATATAGTCTTAAACCATGAAGTAATTTCTTGTACGTACAAGAATTGATGAAAGATTTGGATAGTACTCACTATGGCTACAGAGTCACGAGCTGCTATAGCTAAGATATCTGCACATGAAACTACTGCACCTTTGCAAGCTTTGTCAACTGCAGCTTTGATTTCATCAACCACCTCAAATCCTCTAATTGAATTAATGTTTGGAAGTGCAGTCTTCTCTCCCAAGAAGAAAGGTGTGTCATCTAGCAGCACTGATCCATCACAGCCCTGTAGTTTGTCCACGTGGACATTTCATGTTCATGTATGTGTAAAAGGAATAAAACAAGTGACATGTCATATGTAAATGTAATGTTCCTGTTGTGAACTTTCTGCTATGGGTTCTTGCTATGTCGTAGTTGGAAATTTTGTCATTAGGTCTGACTTGTTCCCTACGCATCATGTTACATCACACTTGTTTCATTTTGCTACTTGCAGCATTGAAAATTAATTGTTTGACACAGTGATAAAGATATGAACTTAACCTGAGCTAACTAAGTCAAGTCTAATATTTTATATATATATATATGCAGCATATCATGGTGATGAGAATTCTTCTCAAGTGAGAATTAATTTTAATCGTATAACTATACATTAAGAATAAATATAATAAATTATCTTTCACAATAGTATAATGATTTTGTTGTTTTTTCGAGACATTCTCTTTCTCTATACATACGTACATTAATTACATGACATTTGATATTAGATGTTAGATTTTATATAATATCACATTTAATAACTTTCATAGAAAATAAGTTTGATATAAAAAAAAATTGTTATATAATGATATATACTCTATAGTGACACATTATATCATTAAAAATTATTTTCACTCATACAATAAATATAATACATGTTAATATATTATTAAAAAGTATAAGTATAGATTATAGTAATACCTAAAATATATTATTAAATTTTATTCAAAATTAATATTAAAATTGTCTATTATTATATGTCAAATAAATATATATTTACATATATTATACCAATAAAATTCTTATAATATATGTCGTTGCATGTCGGAAAGATGGGATGATTCTTGCCTGTGTTCTTTGGGATAACCATATTAACCACACAGTAAAAAGCAGCATGCAAGAGAAGTAGCTAGCTATAGGATTAAATCGTAGGAAATTAAACTACATAGTTTGACATGAATAATGATGGCATGCACTAGAACAGTGGAACTTACATTAACAAAGCAGTCATGGAAATGCAAACGCAGCAAGGATGCTCCAATGCGTGTTTCACGAAGAATTGCCTGATTAACAATTGACTTTATGATTGGCAACGCCTGAGGACAAACTTTGTCATAATAATCAGGAGTTAGCTGAGCAAAGGTCGTAGGTATCATAAATATTGTAGCCATAACAAGCACAACCAAATGATGAGAATCCATTGTGTTATGCTTTATGATGAGGTGAATAAGCACAAAGGCAGGATTTATACATATATATAGAAGAGAAGTACAGGAAGTAGCTAGATCGTAGCTTATTTCCTTGTTTGAGATATCAACATATATAATATTTTACTTTAGGTCATGCTCAGCACCGTTGACCACTACCCGTAGGAATTGCACAAACACTGCCTCACCAACTCTTAGATATTGTCATGATTAATTGTGGCGTATCGATATATATAAAACGGATACACATGTTTTAATTATACCTTTTATTTATATAACATGTGTTTTTTTTTTAATTATTAGATGGTGTTATTTGAGGAGGTATAATTAATTACTATTACTATCATGTCTGATAAAACTAACCCCATGAATATATTATATAAACAATGTAATTTCATATTCAAACTCAAAATTAATCAATTATATATATATATAATGTACGTCCATTTGCGGTTGGAATACATTAATAAACTATCACTAATATATATTAAGACAACCTTTAATTATAATAACTTATTAACACTTTCCAACAATTGCAAATTAAGTAATTAGTACATATGTATAGGAGATAAGTTACTCAAAGAATAATTAAGTATTTTATCTTTGATGATTTAGATTGGAAAAAAACAAGGTAATTAAAAAGATAGAATAAAAAAAAATTTAATTACTCTTGGAATAATTTAGTTTTTCTTATATATAAAGGGGGGGGGGGAGTATATATATATGTTGTCCAAAACTTATTAAAGTTGGTTTGAATATATAGAATTTTTTAGAAATATTTTTATGAAGAAAAACAATAAAAATAAATTTATCAATAAATTAAAACTAGTTATAGATAAGTATAAATTAAAATTTTAGAGAAACTAATATATAAGAGAATTTCTATAAATTAATTTATTTTAATTTTCATTCTAAAAAATATTTATAGAGAAATTTACTAAACAAAATCCTTAGTATATACACATATATCTTCATTATCTTGCCTAAAGCATCTTGGTATGCTACAGCAACAAAGAAAATATTAACTATTTATTTTTATATATTATATGGGTCAAATGCGAAAAATTTGACTACGTACTAAAACAATATTTCTATATATTTTTTTAATATTATTCGATTTAATATAAATTTAATTATTTCATCTAACGTAGTAAATTAATCTTCTTTTTAGTCTCCCATTTATTTTATTATAAACTTCCTGCTTAAATTATATTCAATCATCTTCGATAAATCTATTAAAATTGCATTGTACGACTCCAATATATAAAACTTAATTTCAGAAATTTACTATTCGTTAAAATAAAGTTAATTAGTTGATTAAGTATCAACTATTTTTTTTTATATTTTATGACATTTCGTAAAAATAGTCTAGTAAATTAAATTCTCTCTCTCTCCCTCTCTCTCTATAAATATAGAATTATAACAAGCTAAATACATTTTAAAATTAATTTTAGCGTACATATTAGGTTGACTTATTTCCTCAGCCGATATACCATATATTGTTTGAAAACTTGTAATTCTTATAAAAATTAAACATATATATTTAAAGTTTCTAAAATTAATACTTTTATAATATTAATATTTTAATTTATAGTTTAATTTTGAGATACATATTACTCAAATTTCTTTACTTTTAATTTTGACGATACAAATATTTAATCTTAATTATACATAATTGCGTCATAATTTGTCAAGTTGAAAATTTAAAATTGATAAATTAAATGTTTGGCCTTTAGGCCATAGAAGAAGGTCTTGTACTAAAATTAAAATTGTTAACGAAAACCAAAGAATTCAGGTCTAATACTCCTTGCACTTAAAAAAAAAAGTGTTCGTTATCAACTCTTCATTATAACTTAGTCAACTATAGTTTCTTTTTTAGCGCAAAAAAAAATATGCTAAATTATAAAATTGATTTTATTTTCCTGTCGGCCGTCGCGAAAAATTCTTGGGCGTTATCTTCAAGATGGAAAAGTATAGTTTTAAATTAAAATTCAAATGATTTCTCATTGGATAAGCATGTAAATAATTATTTATCATTAGTTGCTATAAATTAATATTTTAATATTTAGTATTCTTTTATAATTTCATAATTTTGACTCCATGCTTAAACGGAGAATACTCTCGGGTAATTATGATTCTATTTGTGTTAGAGATTCTTATTTTGCTAATGTAGTTTTTGGCAAAAAAGAGAAATTAAGGGTACTTATGTTTTTTATTTCTTATTTTTACTTTTTAATTATAAAACTATTTTTTTCTTCTATTTTCTTTATAGCCTTTTAAAATTAAAACATACAATAAATTAAAAATAAGATGAGAATCTTATAATTAAAATTGGAAATTACCCTAAAGCTCTCGGCGTATAGGTAGTAGCACTACACTAAAATTAATTTTTTGTGGCAATTAATTTATTATTTAGTGGTTATATAAATGATCATTATTTTTTTACCAGCAATTAAATAAAAGCTAGTGTATCCAATATCACTAATACTATTACCGGTATTTATATAAAATATTGGTAAAGATCTACTAAATTGTCAGAAAAAATTATTTTTTTTAGTGACAATTCTAATAGTCATTTTAAAGGTTATTAAAAGTTATTTTTTTCAATTGTTTCCTTTACTTTAAATAATTTATTCCTATAATTTCCTTTTCTAAATTCATAGCTTATATACTTTTTTTATCTCTACTTGATGTAGGATTTGTAAGATGAGGGTTGTCTTTTATTTATATATTTTTAAATTTATTTTTTTAATTGTCTTGTCTCTTAGGAAATGTGAGATTTATAAGGTGAAAGTTACTCTCTAATTGTTTTATAACACTATTGAATTTGATAATAATGGTGATTTGATACTAATTTAGAATAGTGAATTAGGAGACAACCCTATAAAATAAACATGTAAGGTGATAGTTATTACTCACTTATATACTATTTAATTATCATATCTCTAATCAATGTGGGACTTAAGTTTTTTCTAATAAATAATTATCGTTAATAATAAACTTTAGTGTAATATAAATACATTTTTAGTGGTTATTATATATTAGTCATTAATATTTTTATATATGACAGTAATTAAATTATTGTCATTAAATAATTGTCGTTAATAATAAATTTTGTTGTAGTATAGTTAGCATAGTTACATCAATGTTTTTATACATGTATAGAGGTAATTGTACAAATGGCACTAGTTTAGTACACGGCATGTTTTCATCTTTGACATCAAAAGTAAAACTATATAAAATGTGATCATCACAAAGAAATAATTAGTCAAGAATTGGTCCCTCTAAAGAATATTAGTCTTGCTAGCTGTGAGATTTAATAATGCCTTATAAAAATGTAAAAATTCGTGTTAGAAATAGAAAATTGCTATAAGGACATTAATATATATATATATATATATATATATATATA